CTGTCCAAAGTAGCAGAAGATTTTGTTGTCAGTCGTCACGTCGCTCCTGCCAAATTGACTATAATAGATCCTGATCAATATGKCGGCATTCCMAAKTCTTCGACTGGTGACGCCCTCACCTCMATGTTTCACCATTGGGCCCAKRCMACTGATGGCACTGGTTCGGCCGTGAGGGTTGTTCTCTTTGATTATAGGAAGGCTTTCGACTTAATCGATCACAACCTTCTGATGCGCAAAATCTTAGATCTAGACATMCCAATGGCAGTTTCTTAGGTGGTGGTGGACTTTCTGACTGACAGACAACAACGCGTCAAGATGTCCTCCGATTGTCTATCTGAGTGGGGTCCTGTACCAGCTGGTGTTCCACAGGGAACTAAATTGGGCCCCCTGGTTGTTTCTTCTTATGATAAATGACCTCAGAGTACCCGGTGTTAAGTGCTGGAAGTACGTTAATGACACAACTGTTGCTGAGGTTGTGCCACGAGGCGCTATGGGTAGCACACAAGCCGTGGCTCAAGCTGTTGTCGACTGGTCAAACCAACAGAATATGGAGCTCAATGCTGATAAGTGTAAGATCATGACGATTGACTTTAAGAGAAACAAACACGTCTTCGACCCAGTCACCATAAATGGAAAAGAACTGTCCGTAGTAAAGTCTGCCAAGATCTTGGGTGTAACTTTATCTGATGACCTTTCTTGGAACAATCACATCATTCACCGAGTGTATTAATAAAGCAAACAAGCGATTGTTTTTCCTAGTCCTCCTCAAAAGAGCAGGTATAAATCGCAACGACATCATTAACTTATACTGTATTATGATTAGACCCGTTCTAGAATACTGTTCCACCATATATCACACCGGACTTCCCAAGTACTTGAGTGACGACCTAGAGCGCGTGTACAGAAAAGAGCTCTCAGCATCATAGAGTACCAACTCTCGTACAAAGATAGTCTCAGTGACCAACTTCAACATGTTGAGCTTATGTGACCGACATTCGGATCTTTGCAGCAAGTATTCAATCAAATTATAAGTAATGACTGCCGCAAGATTAGAAATCTACCGCCCCCCCAAACAGTGCACTTACAACACTCGAAGGAAGAGAACTTTTGACCTCCCAAGATTCAAAACCAACCGATATCAGAATTCATTTATTCCTGCAATGTTAGTCAAGTGAACAATGACGGACGATGTAATTTGTAGGTTTTGAGGTGACAATTTGCAGAAATTTAGAAACTATAAGTAGTTTTTATATTGATACTATACGATATTGTAACAAATTTTTGTACTTATAACCATATTATTTATTGTAAAATATTAGGCAATTCAGCCTCTGGCTGCGAAATTGATRTTTTATTAAACCAGCTATCTATCTATCTATTACATTTCCCTTGCTGTATCAATTGAAATTACAGTTGTTCAAACGATTTTTCACACACAAAAATCGACTGTCTGACGTTTAGTTCTGGGACTAAACGTCATGCTGCCTGGCGTTCAGACACTCCGTAGAAAAACACGTGTCTTGTCATCTGTTCAGTATTAAAAAGTACTCTTAAAATATAATAAAAATAGGATTTCATTGAACACTAACTACATACGAAGCTTCAAGGAAAGAAAACTCATCTTCAACATTTGTGGGAATTTGGGTTCGCATGCGCGATACCTCAATCCACGATCATTCTCAAATAACGAATATATAGGTAGTACTTACAAGTCAAAATATTTTTGTAACGATTTTTCACAGTTAATTTTGTTTGATGGTTTTTTCTGCTTCGATGCACTGCTATTGTGACAATTTAGGATGCACGCTATGGTATGTAGAACAAATTGTGACGAATATTAATAATAAATTAAATCGCGCAATGACATGTATGAGGATGTATTTTATAAAGTTGCAGCATCTTTTCGAATTTCCGTTGGTTTTATTAAAAATCTTTTACCTCCTTTTTGATTTCTAATTACAGGTATAACTGAACAATGGTCAGTATTAAAAAAAACTATGTTATTGTGAGGAAATAGGAATTTTAACATTAAAATGTTTAAACCTTGCGTGTCAATACGCTATTGAAAGAAGTTGAGTTAGTGTAGATGAGAGATCCCTACCTTTTCCATGTTAGGACTGTAAGCACAGCTAACAGGATAATCACAACAACAAGTGATACCACAAGACCAATCATGACTGTCTTTGCTGACGATGATCTGTTGCCTTCCTTTCCAAGATTTCCTGCTGAAACTGCTGATTATTTTCACAAAAACGTCGATAAGCTTAGGTAAAATTGAACTGCAGCATTCGTTGTAAATATGACTGTTTAACGATACATTGACGATAAATGTTGACATTTAATCATCATATCGTCATATACTTACTTTATCATAGCCGTCGACATCGTGGTTTTGCACGAAAGCGAGGCAGACTCGGGCAACAACCCAAAAATCGTCATTCTTGAGCTTGTTTATCTTTTTGCAGTTCCAAGAAAATATTTTTTGTTTGTGAAAAAAGTCATAATTTTGACATGAGTTTGCATTTTTATTCATTTGAGGKCTKCACGYTTYGGTTTTAACSGCGAAAAGGTCTATTACATTGTTATCGTCATTGTCATGGATCGTCATCATATTCGTCAATGGACGACTGTCAAAATGCGCTTTCGCTTATATCGCAGCCGAACGCATGAAAACAAGGCATTTTCGGGTACTGTTCCGAAGCTTGCATATGATATATATATATTGTTGAAAATACTTCCTTTTCATGTGCAGATATTTTTAACTACAGCATCATCGTCTATTATCATGAGCAAAAAAACATTTACACCAAATACCATCTTACCTTGTATATTTCTTTGAGTGGTTGAGACACAAATTGGTTTGCTATAAGGACCTGGACCGGCTATCGTAATTGCTCTCACGGAGACAGAGTACATTGTTGAAGGCGATAGCCCGGTGAAAATCGTAGNACAAGTGGAGACAGAACAAACGACCAAGATATACTTCGGGATCATCGGAGAAGCGGCTTTTTCGAGGTAAGATAACGACGAAGCCTTAAGTTTATGCATAATTGTAGTAGATGCGAGTATAGAACACAAGTAAGCCAATAGTTATCGGGTATACCTAAATAACAGTATTTCTGACCTCACCAATATAGAATGATTATAAAACGCAAGTGATTACTTTGTGAAGCTCAGAATAATGGTCCGCAAGCGAACCTACCATATACAACAACGTTGTTGTCATTACTATATTCGTAATATAGAAGAAAAATATTTTACGTTCGTTTGAACGAAGTGAATTGGAACGTAAGTAGAGTTTGTAGATGTGAGATCCCTACCTTTTCCATGTTAGGACTGTAAGCACAGCTAGAAGGATAATCACATCTTGCTACCACAAGACCAATCATGACWGTCTTTGCTGACRATGATCTACTGCCTTCCTTTCCGATATCTACTCAGTGCTGAAACTGCTGATTATTTTCACAAAAACGTCGATAAGATAATTGAACTGCAGCATTCGTTGTAAATATGATTGTTTAACGATACATTGACGATAAATGTCATATATTTACCTTATCATAGCCGTCGTCATCCTTATCATCATCAAGAAYAGAGCGGGGTCTTCGTGATTAGAAAATTAGGTTRCGCGAGGAGCCTGTGGTTTTRCACGAAAGCGAGGCAGACTCAGGCAGCAACCCAAAAATCGTCATTCTTGAGCTTGTTTATCTTTTTGTAGTTCCAGGAAAATATTTTTTGTGTGAAAAAAGTCATAATTTTGACATGAGTTTGCATTTTTATTCATTTGAGGGCTGCACATTTTGGTTTTAACCGCGAAAAAGTCTATTACATTGTTATCCTCATCCATGGATCGYCATCATGAGTGTCAAGATGCGCGTTCGCTTATATCGTAGCCGAACGCATGAAAACAATGCTAACTTTTCGGGTACTGCTCCGAAGCTTGCATATAATATGTATATATTGTTGAAAATACCCCCTTTTCATGTGTAGAAATTTTTATCATCAGCATCATCGTCTATTAGCATTTACACCAAATACCAACTTACCTTGTATATTTCTTTGAGTGGTTGAGACACAAATTGGTTTGCTATAAGGACCTGGACCGGCTATCGTAATTGCTCTCACGGAGACAGAGTACATTGTAGAAGGTGATAGTCCGCTAAAAATCGTAGATCTTCTACTGGTCGATTCAATAATCCAATCACCGCTTTTTATATCTGCACATTCGTGTTGTGTCAACTTGACGTCATATCCGGTGATGTCACAGGTTAAWTTGTCCATTGTTACAGGACCCCAGGACACAGCAATTGAAGAAGAGTTTGTCGGGATAGCAGAAACATTCGTGGGACCGGACATCGGTGCTATAAAAAACAAGATTGTAAGCAACTATATTGTACATCGGATTTTCGCTTTTTGTTCCTTTTAAGAGACTTGTTTGGTATATTCAATCTATTCGGGCTTTGCACTTAGCAGTCCTCAGCCAGTAGAAAACATTGTATGCGAGACTCATATTTATACGCCCGTGATTAAGACTGAAAAGACTTCAATGCTGCTGGAAATTTCTGTGTGAGTGTGAATGGTTATGAGGAACGAGTGATCGGAGACAAAATACATCATGAGGTCATTCAATAAATGATGAAANTTCTCTGGCACTTAATGAAGCGAATGTCATTGGCTTATCTGATGGCTTTCTTATAGGTATATCATGGTTATTGGATCTTCGCCGACGTCTTGAAAAACATCAACACATCAGTTTGAATTATGCGTACACTACCTATCAGGTCACGTGATTGACAATAAATATCCTGAATCATATAGGACTGATAGTTATAGAACAGTGCACGTTTAGTGAGGCTCTATTACTTATGAGTGCGATTAATATTCCAACACAATAATGGAACAATGGCTGAGGTGTTGAGTTGTAAGTGTGAGAAGCTGCATCTTCGAATTTTCGTCAGTGTACTCAAACGTTTTTACCAGCTTTAACTTTGCAATGGACAATAGAAAAACTACTTTCATGTGAGGAAAGATGAATTAATGTTGAAACTTTGTATTAATACGTATAAGTTGCTGAAAGAGATAGAGTTAGTGTAGATGTGAGATCCCTACCTTTTCCATGTTAGGACTGTAAGCACAGCAAGCAGGATAATAACAATAACAAGTGATACCACAAGACCAATCATGACTGTGTTTGATGACGATGACCTGTTGCCTTCCTTTCCAGGGTTTCCTGCTGAAACTGAGGATGATTTTGATAGGTTGATAAGTTCTCAGGTTAAATTGTTTGAGCTGCAGAATTTGTTGTAAATATGATTGTATGACGAAACATTGACATTAAATGTTAACCTTAATCATCATCATCGACATCATCATCATCATCATCATCAAAAAAAAATTAAATATTGTTATCTTCATGCATTCTTGTCAGTTTATTCTTTAATGAACGTCTTTCAAGATGCCCGTTCGCCTAGAGATATAGCACCCGAACGCATGAGAACGAGGTATTTTCTGTTACTGTCCCAAAGCTTGCTTATATTCTTGGAAATACCTCGTTTTCATGTGCGGACTGATTTTTATCATCAGCATCAGCATCAGCAAAAAAAAAACATTTACTCCAAATACCATCTTACATTGTATATTTCTTTGAGTGGTTGAAACACAAATTGGTTTGCTATAAGGACCTGGACCGGCTATCGCAATTGCTCTCACGGAGACAGAGTACATTGTAGAAGGCGATAGTCCGCTAAAAATCGTAGATCTTCTATTGGTCGATTCAATTATCCAATCACCGTTTTTGATATTTGCACATTCGTGCTGCGTCAATTTGACGTCATATCCGGTGATGTCACAGGTTAAWTTGTCCATTGTTACARGACYCCAGGAMACAGYAATTGMAGAAGAGTTTGTCGGGATAGCAGAAACATTCGTGGGACCGGTCATTGGTGCTATTAAAAAACAAAATTGTAAGCAACTATATTGTACATCGGATTTTCGCTTTTTAGTGTTCCTTTTAAGAGTTACTGTTTGGTATATTCAATCTATTCGGGCTTTGCACTTAGCAGTCCTCAGCCAGTAGAAAACATTGTATGCGAGACTCATATTTATACGCCCGTGATTAAGACTGAAAAGACTTCAATGCTGCTGGAAATTTCTGTGTGTGTGTGAATGGTAATGAGGAACGAGTGATCGGAGACAAATACATCATGAGGTTATTCAATAAATGATGAAATCAACACTTACCATTTCCAATTCTTATAGTGGCGTTTTTACTCGGTGGACCGATGTACTTGGAGTTATTAACGGACACCGTTACACTGTACCACGTGCACTTTTCTAGTGATGTAATATTCCACGTGTTGAGNCAGATATTTTTAACTACAGCATCATCGTGTATTAGCATCAGCAAAAAAAACATTTACACCAAATACCATCTTACTTTGTATATTTCTTTGAGTGGTTGAGACACAAATTGGTTTGCTATAAGGACCTGGACCGGCTATCGTAATTGCTCTCACGGAGAAAGAGTACATTGTTGAAGGCAATAGCCCGGTGAAAATCGAAGATCTCCTATTGGTCGATTCAATTATCCAATCACCGTTTTTGATATCTGCACATTCGTGTTGTGTCAACTTGACGTCATATCCGGTGATGTCACAGGTTAAAATGTCCATTGTTACAGGACCCCAGGACACAGCAATTGAAGAAGAGTTTGACGAGATAGCAGAAACATTCGTGGGACCGGCCATTGGTGCTAAAAAGAACCAAGGCTGTAAGCAAGTAAGTATAATTTTACATCGGAATTTAGCTATTTGTTCCTCTTTAGAGATTGTTTGATATTCAAAATCCCATATCCATTCGGCCATTGCACTTGTCATTCCTCGCGATTGGTAGACCTAGCCCAGCAGAAAAAATTGCAAGCGAGACTTATCTTTATATCAAGTGATAAATTTTGAAACACTTTAATGTTGCTGGAAATTACTGTGTGTGTGTGAATGATGATAATTAGGAACGAGTGATCGGAGAGTAAATACATCATGAGGTTATTCAATAAATGACAAAATCAACACTTACCATTTCCAATTCTTATAGTGGCGTTTTTACTCGGTGGACCGATGTATTTGGAGTTATCAACTGACACCGTTACACTGTAACACGTGCACTTGTCTAGTGATGTAATATTCCACGTGTTAACCACACCTATGTCAACATTCTTTGACTGCCCTTTGTTTGTTATGTAAGTTACTCTATAACCTGTTAATGGTCCGTTGATAGAATGGTTTTGTGGATGCTGAYAAGACAAGAAATAKYYTCTGGTTAGATTCAGTCATATTCCAGTCTTTCAGTTTGGTGTTCTCACCTTCCACGTGACGCTGATTGAATTTGGCGAGAGTGTTTTCAAAGTAACAACGCTTTGGATTACCTGTGGGACTAAGTCAAAGAGATATAGACACAAGATTTTATACCAAATAGATCACTTTCAAGTTAACAAACCTGCTATGTCAGTCTGGATGGTCTTGTTATCGCTCCATAATCCATACGGAACAGCCTTGACTCGTATTTTATATTCAGTGTTTGGCTGAAGACCTGTGATGATTTTACTTGTAGTTGTTGAACTAACATTCAATTTTCCCTTAGTGCTTACTTCCACAACGTAACCAGTTATAAGTTGAGTTAGTTTACCACATGGCTGAATAGTCCATCGTACAAATATTGATCGTTCAAAGGGAGTGATGACGTCAATACGTGGTGCTTCTATGAAATT